GTCCATGTGTACAAAACACACAGTGTGAGATGGGTTGACTGCCGGCAGGAAGATGGTTTTAAAAGACAGAAATGAGATGCAGCCAAACCTAGAAAAAGAGCCAGAATTAAGGTTAAGGAAAGTGTGCACGACACATTGCAACTTACAAAGTATGTTCCCATGCATTCTGTAGTACTGTGGTTTGGCTCTTTGTCCCCCCAAGATCCACGTGTTAGAAACAACCCCCAGTGTGGTAGTGATGGTGAGGCGATAGAACCTTAAGGAGTGGAGCCAGTGAGAGATAATTAGGTTGTTGGGGTGCTGCCCTTAGAAAGGATCAAGAAGTTCCCAGGGAATCCTAGTTCCCATGAGAGCGAGTTATTATAAAAGATCAAGATTTCCTGACTCCTTTCTTGGCAAGTGTTCTGTCTTTCTTGTACTAACTCCCACCGTGATGCCATCTGGCATGCTGTGAAGTAGCCAAGGAGGCCCTGTGAGAACTAGTGCTATGCTGTCTATTCCACCAGCCTCCAAAACTGTGAGTTTAATAAATTTTTCTTCAGTTCCAGCCTCAGGTATTTTGTTATAGCGATGAAAAACTAACACCTCTTATTTTAGACCTCACAAACAACTAGGTGAAGTGGTTCAGAAAGTATTAGTACCTACTTCAGATATTCAGGAATTCTAAGGAGAGTCAGCTTACCCTGGTGAGCAGTGAGCCAGGTCAAAAGATGGGGTGTTGTGCCTCTAAAATCAGAGCTTCCTTCCTAACTTCATAACCCTTATAAAGATCAGGCAACTGCTGATGCCCAGGGCTGCAGAGGTGAGCAGGGTGTACTTTCCTGCATGATTTTCTTCCCTTCTCCGGTGCCCCCAAAACCCATCCTCGTGATGCCAGCCACATTCCCGTGGATGTCACTTGCCGGTGGCAACCTGCTTCAGACACCCAGCAACACTTAGCTCTTGCTTGTTTGGGTCGCCTGCTTTTGTGAAACTTGGACTCGGTCCTTTGCAGGGTCACGACTTCACAGACAAGCCTTTTTATTTTAGCAATCCTCTCGCCGGGCTCCCTCCTTAGCCACCCTCCTCTGGTTCCATCATCTCCTCCTTGTCCACTCACTCCCACTCTTCCTGACTGTTGTGCAGCTCAGTTTGGCCACCGCCACATCATGTTTCATTCTCAGCCCAAGAAAGAAATTGTGCAGGTGTCAAGCTTGGTCAGAGAAGGACCTGTCCTGCCTGTGCAGTTTGGGATTTCAAGGGTGTACATATACTACTCTCTCAGCAGTGTGTTTTCATGCTGACAAGTTCCAGAAAGAACAAGTCTTGAGTAGACCAGGAAGCTACTTTCCCATGAGAGTGGTGCACTGGTATTGATAAGAAGGCAGTCGAATGGTGCTTGAAATTTTACAGAGAGCTCAGTGAAGACCAGTGCTAGGCTGCAAATTGACAGCCCAGGCCTTTCTGGCCTCCAGGCATCGGGCTATTTTCCCAGGTGGCTCTAACTGAGACAGAGCAATGCAGTGGGCCATTGGTCAGTGCCCCCCAGGTGCAACATATGCATGCCAGTTGGTGTGTGCAGCCTGCAGGCTCACTCCTGCTGCCCCATGCCCACATGTCTTCTGGGATTCCCTCCCTGGAGATCAGGGAAGAATGCACTTCCTTCCCTCCTCTTCCACTTGAGTAGGGCCAGTACGGCACGCGCTTGTAATCCCATCCACTTGACAAGCCAGGGAGGAGGATCAAAACTTTGAACACACCCTAGGCAATTTAGTGAGACTCTGTCTCAAAATAAAAAGCGCTACGGCAGGGGGAAGAGGCATCATGATAGAACACTTGCCTTGCATGTGTGAGGCCCTGCTACTGAGGGAAAAAGGGCAAAGAAAGAAAAAGATCTGGAGTAGAAACCAAGTCAGCCATACCCACTGAAAGTAAGCGCACGTATGCTCTGCAATCTCCCCCACTCCACTTTTCATTCAGAGCACAGTCCTAGGAGTGCTGGGATGCATTACTGGAATGCCAGTTTCCTATGTGAAGCTAGATGTGCTAGTGTGTTGGGCCGGAAGATCCCTTCAGCCCAGTCCTCAGTCAGGCGAGGGCTTAGAGGACTAAGGGTGCAGGATTCTGCAGAAGTGGCACAAGAGAGAGAGAGCCAGGGCTTCCTTGGAGAAGAGGCAGAGGAACCTGTGTCCCTTTATACTGAACTCAGTAGCTGGCACCCATTGCAATCAGAATAAACTGATCAAGTGATTCATAATATCCCTTTTGCCTGTGAGAAGACAAGTGGAATGAAGTATATCACTCAGAAGGGAAATTACAGATACAAAATGAGTTAAGGAAAACTGCATCTAGATTTTTTTCTCCCCCGCCCCCGCCACACCAAGGCCTCACACTTGCCAGGCAAGTATTCTACCACAAACCTATACCTCCCTTGGCCTTTTTTATTTTGCGGCAGAATCTCACTAAATTGCCTAGGGTGAGTTCAAACTTTTGATCCTCCTGCCTTGGCCTCTCAAGTATCCAGGATTACAGGCATGTGCCATCACGCTGGCCCTCTGAGGAGCATTTTATTGTGAAGAATTACTTTTTTCCCTTCCCTTTTCCTGCAATACTGGGGATTAAACCTAGGGCTTCACACCTGCTAGGCAAGTAGTCTACGTCGAGCAACACCCCATCTCAGAGTTACAGGTGGATGAACGTAGGGCGGCCGGCCCTCCACTCCTGACAGCCCTGGGCCCCAGAGACACACTGTGTACCTTCCGCACCCCTCCCAGTTCCATCAAGTGAGCTGGAGATACGCAAAACCCGAAAATAGACTCTCAGAGTGTACCCAGACATAATGATTCCATTCGGCAAGAAGGTCACTGTGTCTGCTTTTCCTGCCAACACAGCCCTGGCTCTCAATCTATGGCTGCCTTGTGAAGTGAGAGAGCTGGGCCAAGAAGCTACGCTCTGTGGCTGTGAGGCATCATGAGAATTTAAAATCATGTCAATGGGGTTTTGTCAGGGTAGGCCAGAGAAGGGAAGTTACTCAGTTTTAGAGGAGGAATGTCTTGTAACATCCTTTGTTTGTTGGCCTGAGAGTTACCATCACTTGTTTAAAAAAGAAAAAAGAAAAGAAAATCTTGCTGGCCCCAACTACAAATAAAGTCCACCCTGCCAATTCTGCCAAAAAAAAAAAAAGGACATCTGTCCCCAAATGTAGTCTAGTTACCTGAGCGGTAGGATTATGAGTAAATCTTGTTATTTTCCCTGTGCTTTTCTATACTTTCCATAATGTCACTTCTTAGATTCACAGTGTGAAATAAAGCAACAGATCCCATTTTAAAAACAAAACTGCACCTTAGCCAGCTGATTGTGTTTCTTTGAATGTTCAGTGTTTCGGTCATAAAAGTGATACGGACAGGGCAGGCCTTGCTTGTGCACCCTCATCGGGCCGAGGCCGGTGTCCACAGTCCTTTAGCCACGCCGGTTCTAGGGGGCTGCTGGGCAGGGCAGGTGCCCACCCCGAGAGGATTCATGGCAGCAAGGAGGCTGGGAGAGGAGTACTGCTGGAGGAGGGCCTGCCAGAGCCCTCCACGGCAGAGGGAGGAAGTTCACATCCAGGTGTCACTGACAGCGACACCTGCCTGCTGTGTGCTTGTCAGGAAGGAAACTGTCTGCTCGAGTTCATCTGTAAACACAGCCTTCTAGCCCTAGAATGTTCAGTTGGTGTTCACTGTCCAGGAAGTTGGAAAGAGCAAGGCCTGTGGGATCAAGCACAGTGTAGTAAGTAGAGACAGATATCCGGGATATCTGTCCCTGGAGGAATTCCACATACCCTCTTGGGGATGGGGAGTGAGGAGAGCAAGATGTTCATTTAGCTGGACTGTGACACCATAGACTGGTTATTGACATGAGTCAGTCCCATAACCAATCCTGCCCAATCCTGTCTGCTGAATCCCAGCCCTGCAGAGCCTAAGGGGAGCAAGCTGAAAGAGAGGGCACATATGGGCTGGGACACTGTGGCATTGCACCATCCTGCACTTTTTACTTTAAAGTTCCATTTATTATGTTGCACATTCTGACCAGTACTGATTCCAGTGGGTCTCAGTGCTTTGAACCTGAGGTCATGACCCAGTGTCTGCACAGATCAGGAATAGAAGTCCTTGCCATTAGATGACAGAGTCTGTCAGGGAGTACGGCCCCTGACAATAATGAGTGATTTGTAATCAGTGAAAAATAATCTCATCCATCACTTGTTACATTCTCCTGTGTGTTGCCTTACAATGGAAGATATATGTGCCCCCTGGATTTTAGGTAGTACACAAACAAGCAAAGATAACATGTCCACTTGAAAAAATAAAACAAGCTAACCAAACTAACCATTTCGTGAATAACTTTATTTAAGGCAAGCTAAAGCAGGTGGACTTTTTGAAGGAAGGTAATTTTGAAGGCAATATTGTATGATTGTATTCTTCCATATGACAGAAATCAGGAAAGTAGAACAGTAATTGGATGATTAATGTTTGGCAGATAGCATCCTAGAATATGCTAGTTGGTCAAATTTTTTTTCCTTCTTTTCTCTCTCATTGGTTTTAATTTTCCTATCTCAGAGTGAAACTGCATGGAGACTAAATTCCTGACAAGAAAAAATAGCTGCAAATGTTTTTAATAATGATTCTAGTAACTTTTGGAAAGTGTCAACAAAGACTTATTGCTTCTCTGGTGCAGAGCAGAACTGCTATCTTCTCTTCAGATCTGGGTTTCAGAGCCCTCACTCCAGCCCCTCGTGGAAAGCAGGTGTTTCTGTACACTGCCATGCTTGCTGTCTTGTTCACAGCCGCATCCACTGTTTCTTGGGGGCCTTGTGCACATCTGTGTGTGTGCACCCTTCCATTGAATGGGAACTAGATAATGTGCCACATCTGGGTTACCCCATTATTTGTTGTAAATACAGACATGATGATGTTGGGGGTCTATGGTTCTCCATTTCCTATTAACCATCTTGCCCAAGTAAACTGTTTTCTGATCTCCCCTAGATGGAAATCCTCTATCAATGTGGAAGCCATTAGCAGAGTAATTGCTGTCTGTTGCCATGACAACCAGCCGCTGCAGTCACCTGCCCGAAGTCCTGCCAGACTGCACCAGTTCGGCTGCGCCCGTGGTGAAGACTGTGGAGGATTGTGGCAGCCTAGTGAATGGGCAGCCACAGTATGTCATGCAAGTTTCAGCCAAGGACGGGCAGCTGCTGTCAACAGTAGTGCGGACCCTTGCCACCCAGAGGTAGTACCACAATTAAAACAAATGAATCTATAATTGATCCAGAGAACTGTTTGTCAGATGGAAAATGCTAAAGGGATGCAATTAGTGCTCAGGTCTTTGTGTCAGGTGAGAAGGGCTGCTGGGGGGAAAAAAAGAACTACACAAGTTCTGTCATCGTGTTTCTATAGCAATAGGACGGAAAGCTAAAATTCATGTTGTCTAGTGATCTGCTTAAAGTCACATTTGCAGAGAGCCATGGTGAAAGGATCCCACAAGACATGGGGCTGCTTGCTTTACATTTGTTATTTTGACATTGCTATGGTAATTACACTCTTGTCTTCAGTAGCTAACAAAAGAAGTCCTTTGCTAGCACAGAATAATGAAGGCACCTAGTTTCAGAAAACTAAGCCAAAGAGATTGGATTTGTGGATAGACTTTTGAAGTGACATCCCTAGGGTGTGTGATGATTGGCATGGCCTGGTGGGTGTGCTGTTGTCCCCTCCTTCTCCTCCACGGGTGACCATGACCCTTCACGTATGCTCTGCTCTGGGAAGTGGTATCATTTGCTAAAGCCTCCACAGCTATCTTCCCACGTGACGAGCCGAAGCAAGGGTGAATGGAGGTCTGAACGGCATTGCTCATCCAGGCGAACACTTTGTGTCCAGGGTCTTCTCTTGTGCTGCTGCTGCCCGATGGCAGATGGTGAGCTCTAGGCTGCCACGTAGTAGTACGTGTGCTTGGTTTCTCCAACTTTCTTTCGGAATGACTAAGTGAAACTTTTGATCTGTGAATGTAAAATATGTGACACCGTCAGACTCGTTCCCTGGCATCTGTTCTAATATGTCCAGCTCTGAAATTTAGGACCAGTTACTTACACTTGACTCATTACCTGGACCCAAGGGATCGTTCACCTCCTTTGGTGCAGACCCACATCTCCAAGTCCAACCTTGTGCTTGCAGCAGAACCCCTGGCAGCACCACAGCCTGGACGTGGTGGTGATCACACCCATCCATGCTGTCAGCATTATCTACCTTTGACTTAATCTCTGTGCAATATCAAAATGAAAAGAAATGGAAAGTATCTGTTAGCTATCGGAGCACTTACAGCAGTTGGTCAGGATTCAGAGAGTCGTTAGCCCCCTGTGAGCTGAGCCTGGATGACTGCATGTACCCAGTCATGCTGGCGGCCACCAACCACCTCAGCTGATCAGGAAATGACAGACCTGTGAACCAGTGTGTCTGTCTGCCTGTCTGTCAGGCCTGCTCCCAAACAGCAATGCTACAGACAGACCTGCTACAGACAGTAATTGCAAAGCAGAAGGTTGCAGAGTAGCAAGTCTTTGAGCAAGAGGGAAGAGGGGATCTTTTCCTCTTTAACACCCTTCCAGCCCTGGCTCATTCTCAGGATCATTCCCAGAGAGGCCTTTGCGAAATTCCTGTGCTTTCCTGACTCTTTCCCTTTGGATCAAAGATGATGTTAAAGAGAATGATCAGGTATATACCCTGGTCATCTTTGGAGGATTTGGGGAGAGATGGAAGAGGGCAAGGAGGCTGGTCCTCGGGTTATTACATATCACGGTGGCATTTTTTACCTCAAATCCCTAACAAAGAATAGGAGACCATCCGAGAGGGAGATGTTCTTCTGACATGATACAGCACCCACTGAGAAGGGAGGCATCCGTGAGATGCAAATTAAAACAATGCTGAGATTCCATCTCACTCCAGAAAGAATGGCTGTTATTAAACGAAATCAACCAATAACAAATGCTGGCGGGGCTGTGAAGAAACAGGAGCCCTTCCCCACTGTTAGTGGGGGTGTAGACTGGTGCAGCCACTGTGGAAATCAATCTAAAACTGGAGATTCCATTTAACTCAGCTATTGCCCTTTTTGGTATCTTCCTGAAAGAATTAAAATCATCATAGCACAGTGATATATGCACACCCATGTTTATAGTGGCACAGCTTGTGATAGCTAAATCTTGGAAACAGTCCAAATGCCCTGATGAATGGATAAAGAAGATGTGGGTTTTTATACAATGGAGTACTACTCTGCCATAAAGATAAACTTGAGACATTTCTAGCTAAATGGATGCACCTGGAGACTGTACTTTTAAGTGAAATAAATTGGACACACCTGTAAATTTCACATTGTTTCTCTGGAGAGAGAAACTGAAAGTATAAATTAGGACCAAATTAGGACTAGATATTGTGAAATACGAAGAAAGCGTTCAAATGTGCAGGGTAACTGGGGGTGGGGGAGGGAAAGAAAAAAATGAGAAAAGAAGAAAAGATGGAAACAAAGCTTTTGAAATAAGGAAGGGAAGAAGGGTTGAAGTGGGGGAAGAGGAATGGGAAAAAATAATCCAGCTATATCTATCATGTACAAGTCCAAATTCCCTATGACGAATGTGATCATGTATACCTAAAATGTACCAATAAACTTAATTTTGTTAAAAGATGCAGTTTGTCTAGAAGCTACAATTGGTGTCATTTCAAAACTTACATTGTTAATGATGAGTAATTGTTTTTTTTTTTTTTATTGGTAGTTTTCCTGAGTTCCATCTGTGTTCAACACTAAAAATAACGTTATTGCTCATTTTCACTCACTTTTGGCCCATGCTGCACCGGCTGTTTTGATACTGGTCACACCTTGTTTCTTTATGTTGTCACAAGTAGATGGTCTGAGTGCCCTAGAGTGCCCAGGACCACTGCCCTACTGCCAAGGTCAAGTGTAAACACCCAAGGGGGCCTTTAAGCAAGTGTCTCTTTGAGCAGCTACCACTCTGTGCCCAGGGGACACTGAGCTAAAGGCCATCTGTTTTGCAGTGGGTCACAGCCCAGTGACCAGCAGGTGCCCCTCTTTCTCTTGCAGCCCCTTCAATGACCGGCCGATGTGCAGGATCTGCCATGAGGGCAGCAGCCAAGAGGACTTGCTCTCTCCATGTGAATGTACAGGGACCTTGGGGACAATTCATCGGAGCTGCCTGGAGCACTGGCTGTCATCCTCAAACACCAGCTACTGTGAACTCTGCCACTTCAGGTTTGCAGTCGAACGAAAACCCAGGCCGTTAGTGGAGGTCAGTAAGTGGGGCACGTCCTGAAAACTTAGCTCTAATGAGCAAATGATGTCTGCTTTTACGGCCGATCACAAACCTTGTACAGCTTCACTGAAGCAGAGTAATAGCCCTGAGAGAGACAGAGAGACAGCGAGACAGACAGGGGCAGCTGGTCAGCTCACTGTGGAGCCAGCAGTAGAATGGTGACTTCCACAAAAGTGGAACAAGAAAGAAGATATCGGTGTAAGAAGAATGGGGAAGCTTAGAGATGTGGTCCCTATTTTTCAATCCCTGCAAAGGAGAACAAAGGTCAAACAGGTTTCTCTTTGTATTCCGTCTGTCTGCTTGGAGCAATAGATAAATGGACATTTGGGTTGCATGTCCTGAGAAGTCTTCATGAGAAAATACTGTATAGCTGTGTAGTACAGTGGAGTTAATTCCAGACTTCTGGGCCCTGTGACCTTGGGGATGTTACCTCGTCTGCTGGATTACTACAAGAATTGAAGGAGTTAATGTGTAGAGAACACTTCATATAGGACATTTCTCTTTTGTGTTTTAGGAAGCATAGGATTCTTCATTAGACCCAGGATCTGGTGTGCTATCAAATTGGGAAAAAAAATATTAGATTATTTCTGCCCTCTTTCCTACCCTCAAATTCTACTGGTTAGTAAAGACTGAATATTGGCAATAATACACATATTAAGATATTATGAAGTGGAGCCATCTGAAAGAGGCCAAGGCATTCTGTCTGTACTCCAGACCTGCTGGTAATCGTGTTTCAGTGGCTAGTGCAATGAAACCCTGGGATGAGGGCTAGAACTAGAGATTGAGAGGCCCTTCCTGAAGACCATTGAATGAGTGTATTAGTACTACGGTTCTTGAAGCTCTAGAGAGCTCTTTATGTTCATCCTCTTGGTTTTGACCTTGATAATTTAATTGGGACCTGTAACTGGAGCTTGTTTTAGCAATGGCTTACTTGCTAAATGGCACAGAATTTATTTGACTTGTTCCAAGAGACTCCATGCTTTTCTCAAGAGACTGGATCAAGTGACCTCTTAATTTAGCCATCTTGCCACTTGACATCAGATTTCAGAAATTCATATTTGTAGAGTACCTATCAAGAATTTGGTCCTATGCCAAATTTGCTGGGATTTGCCATTTCAGAACCCAAAGGAAGAATTATAATTAATTAACAAAGGCAATGAATATTTCTCCAGCCCAATGGAAAAAGTAAGAAGAAGTTGATTTCTTCTTTCCAGAAACTTTTTGGAATCTCTTCAGTTTGATAATGCAGCCTCTCCAGGGAAGTTGGCTTCCCAGAGTGAGGAAGTTCTGCTTTTAAATGGATTCCATCCAGAAGTCTTCTTTTCTGGTATCCCAAGTAAAGAAGACTTTTAATTCGGCTTGGTAAAAATCCGTGTTTGTACACGTAATATGTAGCAAGTGGGGGTGGGGGTGCATGTGTGTGCATGTGTGCACAGGCCTTCCTCTTTCTAATAGTACATATATGTGGCATCACCAGGGAACCCTTTCAGTCTCAGGGTGACACAACACCCACACAGGCTTTTTCCAAGGTGCCCATGTGGGATCGCAGACTGACTCCAGGATCTTAGGCAACTGTCACCAAACAAGGAAACAAGGAGAATGACCTTGTGAATGTGTGAGGTGTTGGACAAGATTTAGGGCCTTGCCTACAAAAACTTCACCCACACGGTCCCCGGTGCTGAAATTGTCATGGCACAAATGGAATGTGACAATTTTCCCAGTTAATGATGACTGAACAAGTTGAAAGTGAAAGGCAAACCTTCTCAGGCCGGGGGAGGCTGGTCGTTTGATCATCCCATGGTGAAATGAACTTGCTGTTTGACCACAAGCAATGAAAAGTTGTCTTTGGTTTCTCAGCTGGAGGACAAATGAGAACCAGGTGCGGGCAGATTTTTAAACACGTGACATTACTAATTGACTTTTTCCCTTTTACCAAGGGCAGGCTTTTTTATAGTGAGCATTGCTTCTCGAGATTTTTACCTTGAAATAAACCTGCATCTTTTTTTAGTGTATCAGCCAAACCTGCCTATTTGGGTTAAGGAGTATTGTTACTTTGTTTTTCATCTTTATTCTTTTAATTGCTTTAATCATTACTTTGTTTACTAGTTAGATCTGCCTTCTCATTAAAGCAAGAAAATTCCATAACATTTAATTTCAATATCAATGTGACAATAACAGCTCTTGTTGCTAGAGGAAGCAGTTTTAAAAGTCATTTATAAATTTTATTTGCCAGCATCTCAGAGCTAACATTGGCTGGAATTGCTTCTAACTCCTCAGATTTGCACTTCTTAGTGAGCCCGTCACTGGCTTGTTCAGTGCTGCCCTTCCATCCCTGTTTCTAATCCCCTTCCCTTTACTTCTCTTCCATACTCTCTACAGCCAGCAGTGAGATGTTCATTTGTCCCTGCCCAGGAACCTAGGACAGTTGCTTATACACAGGCTGCTATATGAAACCTTGTATTTCCACACAAGGGCAAGTTTCTTTCCATAATAACCAAACCAATAGGCTGATTTTATTAGAACCCAAACTGTGCATCCCTTCCCCACTTGGCCGCTGACCATCTGTGTGACCATCTGTGTGGCTCAGCTCAGTTTCTCCCAAGCTGCCCTGTGGAAGAAGGTGAACAAGAAGCTCTCCATGACATCTTTTGGTTTCTACAAGTTTAGAGGCCTTGTGTTTGAAAGAATACATTCTATACTTAAAATGGATATGTTGAGTGGTGTGTAGTTTAAGTCTCAATATTGATTTTGTGTGTATGTGTCTGTCTACTTAGCTAGTTACTTGCCTACCTTCCTACCTGGCCAGACTAAGACTATTGCTTTCTTTTGGTAGGCCCGTTACCTTTTTGTATGCCTGTTGCAGTCAGCAGGATTGGGTGAGGGAATACATTAAATACAGGACACGTAGCTTATAAGGTTATTTTTTAATAACTACAAATGCAAGGAGTATAAGAGATTAACCACGCACTAGAAGCCCAGAACATTCAGCTGAGGGCCTAGATCCCAGCAGTTTCCCACAGAAGTCCCGCTAAAGGCTTGGAGTCCAAGGCAGTGTCCTCCTCGAGTCCAGCCAGTGGCCTGGAGCCCACAGCAATATCCCATGTTTGTCTGTATTGAGGATCTACACCTGGAAGGCCCAAGGGCCAGTGGTGGAAGCCAGAAAAATGTATGTGCTTGAGATGAAGTCTGTGCCACCAAGCTAAGGGATCCACATTGGAGCCAGGCAGTGATGATGCTCACGGTAAAGGTCTGAGCTCTCCCGATGAAAGCAGCAGCCATTCCCAATGACAGCAAGGTCCCGAGCTCCTCCAACAATGAGAACAGCCTAGTTCACATCAGCAAAACCATCCACAGCAAGCTTCTCTTAGAAAATCAACAGGACAAGATCTTGCCCCTCTAGTTCTCTCTTTATGGCTATTGGTAATGATGCTCAGGTGGATCCTGCACGCCCAGACCACGCTGATTCAGTTCAGCTGGGGGTTACAAGTTGCCCATTGACTAATCTACTACAATGCCCTCAATATTTTCTGGTGCAGAGTAAGCTAATAAAAGGTAGTTTCAACCCTGGATAGCTACACTGCAATCATCTAGCTTAGTCAGATGTGGATGAGTTTCTGCCATAGTCCAGTTAATGCAAATCTCATAAGGTCTGTGTCCAGTCATGCAAAATTTGAAAGGAAAGTATTCAAAATGTACATAGAAAAATGGGAAAACAGTTAAAACACACATGCATTTCATACCTTCAGAGTAAGCACATCTCTCATGGAGTCCAGGTAGTTTTTGTTGGTGGAAAATTGTACCTAGTGGTCATTTGTAAGATGAATTATCCCTAAGAATAATAACCCACTAGAACATAGTAAATAGATATCCACCAGCCAACCATAAAAGGATTCACTGAATGACTGGCCTGGGTGGTTTTATGGTCTCCTTCCTGCTTATTTTTAGTTTTCCTCATTTCTCTCTGTAAGGTGAACTCTGATACTTTCCTTTTATAACAAAGGGTAAAATACTGCAAACCAATAAAAGTACCATGACTCACTCCCCGAAATGTGTGCTTGACTCGAGCCTATTGCCAGGGTTGCATTTCTGATTGACCAGCTCGCCCAGGAACACCATTTTGCTGTGTGCGGATAATGTGCTCGTACCGTCAGTTTCTAGTGATGGAATATTTACCGCAGGGCTTGCCTCAGACAGGTACCTGTATCATCCTCCCTTGCCTGTAAAACTCAGGAAGCCACAGATCAGTTCAACAATGTTGTGATTAAGATGAAACACCTATGGAATTGGAAATCTGAGGAAAAGGCTTTACAGGGTCTGAGGAGCTGCTCTTCCTCTGATGAGAGAAACATGGTGATTTTTCTCAGAGGGGATTATTAGGTTTCTGTATTCCTCTTTCCTTTATACAGACCCAGCTGATTGATAAAAATTGTATGAACAATTTAAAAGCTGTTCCCTGAGAGTCAGAGGTTTAGCTAAATTGAAACTGAGAGTGGGTTCTCACATAGCAGTTACCCAGAATAACAGGATGTAAAGCTAAGGATTAGGAACTTTTTTTAAATTTATTTGTGAATTTTTTAAGTCACTAGAAGGAAACGGCATTTGAAAGTGTGGCCTGTTTTCAGAGCAATCTCCAGCTGCACAGCAGGGAGAAACTACGCACAGAGCAGGGAGAGTAGTGCATGGAGAAACCACTTCATACCTTGGCACTTGCTATTTATAAATTTGAGACCACATTCAAATAAATAAATAAATAACACACAGATACATACACATATGTGTATATGTAAATATATCTGTGGCTCAGAGAAACTGCTGGACTCTTACCGTGTTTTATTTTCTTTTTACTTTTAATATTTATCCAAGTAAAAACTTGAGTGTTTGGTTTCAGCATATTCAGTTTAATCCCAAAACCCTTGTCATATTGTGGGTCATCAGGAAATTATGCCATGGGGGTGTGAACAGAGTGGAACGTCCCA